TGCAGAGTTCAGCCTGGCACTTCTCACTTGGGATCATGCGTTTACGTTCAGACACCTGGAGAGGGAGCCATCTGAAGGCTCTGTTGGGATGGACCTTCAAGGTAGTTTTTCCCTCTTACAGTGCAGCCCTTGTCTGATGTCTCAAGTGCTCTGCTGCGTGGTCTTTGCCCAGCAGAATAGCCTAGACTTTTGTGATTGCTCAGGCTCTAAGAGTCATTAAGCAGAAGCAGTTATGAAGTTAAGGGCTTTGTCTGGAATTGACCCAGTATTTTTCAGGTAAAGAAATTACAGCCCCCCCACCCCCCCGCCCCCAATTCAAAGAGGGTGGAGTGGAGGGCAGAAGAGCACATGGGTTGGGAGATTTTGTTGTGGCCATCCTTGGAAAATCAAATCTGCCACAGGCAACTTCTTACTTAAAACTTGCTTCACACTCTTATCTATGAAATAAAAGTAACAATTTTCTCCTTACAGAGTGGTTAAGAGGAATAGCAACAGTGTCAGGCGTGTCATAGGTGCTTCATAAATCTAAGTACCCCTTTCCCGTAATTTTCTAATGTAATAGATGGTTTCTAATCTACTTTTAATTTGGATCACAGTTCAGTACATAGTTTGGTTAACATTCTCCTGACCTGTGTTTCTCAGACTGATGTAACTTAAAACAAAAAAACTTCTTCATGGAAAATTTCAAACATGTCGAAAGTAGAGAGAATAGGTTCGGCTAGCAGGGACCCACGCATGTTCAGCATGAGGATTGAGAAGCGTTATTTCTGTTCGGGGCCCATCTACCCAGGCCGTGATGTGATGATCATCTGCAATGACTGCAAGGTGTTCAGATCCTGTAAATCCAAATGTCACAAAAACTTCAAAAAGAAGTGTAATCCTGTCAAGGTCAGATGGACTAAAGCATTCTGGAAAGTAGCTGGTGAAGAATTCACAGTAGATAAGTCATTTGAATTAGAAAAACATAGAAATGAACCTGTCAAATACCAGCGAGAGCTATGGAGTAAAACTACTGATGCAGTGAAGAGAGTTGAAGAGATCAAACGAAACGCCAAGCTAAATTTATAATGAACAAGTTGAAGAAAAACAAAGAACTACAGAAAGTTCAGGACATCAAAGAAGTCAAGCAAAACATCCGTCTTATCTGTGCCCCTCTTGCAGGCAAAGGAAAGCAGCTGGAAGACAAAATGGTACAGAAATTACAAGAGGATGTGGACATGGAGGATGTTTCTTAAGACTCTTACTACCCGTAACCGTTAATTTCTGCAATCTCTTTTGGAGACTTAGAGCTTCTAAATTATTGATTTGTTTTTTTACACAAAGTCACTCAAATGAAAGGAAAAACGAAAAGTGGAATAGTATGAGAAACTCACATGTACCCAGCTTCAGTAATTATCAACTCATAGCCAGTATACTTCATCCATCTCCACTCTCACTCAACATCCTGTCTCCAGATTAGTTTGAAGCAATTGATTTAATTTTTGAGTCTTTCGAGTAAAGGGGTGGCACCCTTGGTGTAGCTGGAACTATAATACCTTCAGAATGTTATTTTGGGGTTTTCAGATTTCTAAGGGAATGGTTTTCTCAGACCAGACCTTTGTTCTGAGATCAGACTACTGATGTATGTAAAAGACAATTATGCATTTTTTATTTTGATAATTAGAGAATGGTGAGTTTGTGAATTCTAAAAAATTCTGTTTCCTGTAATGTTGATTAGAAGGGATAGTCTATGGCTGAGAGGTTTGTTTGTTCTAAAATAAGCTACTATTATCAAGAGTAGTTCACAGAGAGGGAGGTGGGTATAGCTCAGTGGTAGAGTGCATGCTTAGCATGCGCAAGGTCCTGGGTTCAATTCCCAATACCTCAGTTTAAAAAGAAAAGTAGTTCACAAAGCATGGAAATTCATGGAAAAAGTTTTGGTTCTCTTCCCTTTAATCAAAATAGAAACATTCAATTGTGCTAGAATGGAAGGAGTACCTAGCAACAGGAAGAACTCTATAGTACTTCTATCATTTGGTTTATATCTCTAAAGTGTCCTGTTCCTATCTTTAACCTTCACCCCTGCTCCACGTTAGCCAGCTACTCCCAAAGCTGTATCTTGCTTGGACTTTGTGATCATTCAGAACAGTTCTGCCTCTGAAATCTCAGGCTTCACTATCCCAGGAGCAGCCACAACTTCTTTAGCTTCTAGCTCTTTTAGTTCTCTACTTTCACTCTACCCGTTCTCTGATTGTATTTGGTTCTGGTGCTTTGGCTGCTGGTTGTGAGGTGTGTGGCAAGTAATTTCATGTTTGTTTATTCAGTAAATATATATTGAATACCTGTCTGTCCTAGGGATATTGTGGTAAACAAAACTGACTTGGATCCTGCCATTATGAAACTTAGAGCTTACTGTCTGGTGACAGACATTAAAAAGACATTGAACAAACAGACAATTACAAATTGCGATAAGTACTACAAAGGAACAAGAGGGAGCTGTAGAAGAAAATAATAAGAGGAAACCAGTTCAGATTGGGTGATAAAAGTGGGACTTTCTGACATGACATTAGAATGGAGACCTAAAGGGTTAGAAGTCTCTTGTCATGCAGAAACTTAGGGGAATAGTGGTTTAGTTGTAGGAGCAATATGTATGGAAGCTTGGAGGCAGGGATGAGCTTGATGAGTTAGAAGACTTGAAAGAAGGCCCTTGTGGCTGGAATTCACTAAGGGAGCAAGAGGGTAGCCTCATAGGAGTTGAACAGAGACCAGCTGAATTGGGGCCTTGTAAGTCATGTTGAAGAATTTGATTTTATTCTAAATGTTTTTGGAAATAGTTGAAAGGTTTTAAGATGGGAAATGATTTGGTCCATTTTATGTTATAAAAAAGATCGTTCTGACTTCAATATGCAGAACAGATAGGAAAAGGCTAGCGGAGAAGCAGGACAACACCTAAGAGGGAAGTTATTCAGTGTCTAGAGCCAGTGCTGGCTTGGGTTAAGATAATTTGGCAGTGGGGCAAGGAGTAGGTTTGAGAAATGTGTTCGAGATAGGAGTGCCAGAATTTGATGGTTGAATGTGGAAGATAACAGAGAGGGAGGTGTCAGGAATGACTTCTGGTTTTCCAGTATGAGCAAATCTGGTATGCCATCTCTTGATGGGGGCGTGTGTGTGTGTGTGTGTAAGAGAGAGAAAGTGCATCAGAGAGAATACATATGAGGTTAAATGAGACTGGAGTTCAGAAGAATGGCCTGGGTTGGAGATACCCATTTGGGAGTTGTTCCATATAAGGGATATTTAAAGCAATGAGAATGAGCAAGAGAGGAAGAGAACAGAAAGAGGAGGGCCAGGCACTGTGATAGTGACAAATCATAACATTTTGTAATTAATTCTTTTTCCTTTTTAATTTTAGACATTAGAATACATTTAAGGTTAGCCTTCTAAAGACAATCTCATTTGGTTTCAGATAAACTTTCTTAGTGGGAGAGAAAGGGACAGAGTCACTGCTAACTGGAAGGATGGGGGATGAGGAGTAGGAGGAGGGGCTTAGGGATTTATATGGTCTTCAGATTGTTTCATTTCTGGAGTAGTTCACAGTATGCCCATTATGGGTGTTTCTCATCCTTCATGTGTGTGGTGGAGAAAAAAAGTTGAGAGCTTCTAATCCACAGGGTAAAGTTCATGATAGTCTGAAGTTTTCCACACTCTCGTTTTAGCCTTCCTATCTCATCATACTGTATCCCTCCAACCTCCATACATGCTGTATTCTATTATTATGATCTTTAACCCATAATTTCCTTTTTTATTGAGCAAACAGAATAATATTTTAAGTCTCTGTTTCAGACAAAGCCTCCCCTGATTCCTTCAGACAAACTTTGGCATTTGTTTATATTCTCAGTATACGTTGATTAAATGAATTATTTTATTAAATTTTACTGTTTCTTGCATTGATTGTCTCCTCATAAAACTAATCTCCTTGATAGAAGGGATTGGTCTTTTGTTCTTTATATCTCTTTTAAGAAAGCATTTGAATGTTAGAGCTACCATTCTGTCTTTGAGTAGGCAAATAGAGCCTAGGTTACCTTCTGTTTCTTTCTTTCTTTCTTTTTTTTTTTTTTTTGCAGAGGAGAGGTAACTAGGTCTACTTACTTTTTTTTTTTTTTTTTTTTTTTTTTAATGGAGGTGCTGGGGATTGAACCCAGGACCTCCTGCATGCTAAGCATGCACTCTACCACTGGAGCTATATCCTCCCCCCGTTACCTTCTGATAACACAAACTTTCAGGTTTAGAAAATACAGAGAGCAAGAAAATAGTTGAAAATGTCTTTCCAAATCTATTTCAATAGGTAAACTATACTTTTTAAAGCTATGATAAGGCAGTCTTTAAAGTATATTCTTTCTTATCAGCCCCAAAGCTTAATATTATTTATTTAAAAGAAAGATTCATAATGCTGAAGGAAATAGAAGCTGATCTAAAGGAATTGTTCTGGTTATTTGAATTAACGTTTCTGTGGAACATCCAAGAATATTAAGTTTTATTTGGAACCATTGATAATCAAAATAGATTAGAAATATTGTAAAACTTTATTGTAAATTCCTACTCTACAGATTGATTTATTCTATGATTTAGTTTCTCTTGTATGTACGTAATTTAAAAAAATTAGTTTCTGTGCCCATCAATATTAGAATTTTACTGCTCTGATATATTTAGTAGAGCTTTTTCATTAGATTTGAAGAGAAAATTAGATAATGAATTCATTCTGTTTTTTTTAAAAAATCCAAATTAAAAAAAGAAATCTTTGACATTCTTCCTTCAGCTCTAATGGAAACCACTTATGACGCCATTCTGCAGACATCTCATGGAATTCTTTATTTGTCAGAGCATAACAGAAAAAAACTATCCTGGGATTCAGCAAGTACATACAACGTTTCACAGCATCAGCTTGTGTACTGCAAATTGTCCTGAAACTACACACTTAGCTTTGTACTGAAAGACTTTTATTTCTTTCTTCCTTTCTTTTATAGGAATATATTTGTCCCAGATGTGAATCAGGCTTTATTGAAGAAGTGACAGATGATTCCAGGTATTGTACAAGCTCATGAGTAAACCAGGCATTCTGTTTTCAAAATTGTTTTCTCTCAACAATGACTAAATGAATAGAAAGGAATTTGATTTATAACTTACACTCTCTGCTAAGAGAGACAGAAGAAAAGTGGCAAGAGCGAAGGGGAAGAAAAATGGGGAAATTTGGAAAGTGGTATGATAGTGGGTGTGATGAGACTCACTGTGGCATTCCTAGGAAACCTCTGTATCCATGTCAGAGTAAATCTGGTAAGTTTTCATTTATTTTCTGAGACTTTGGGTTCTCTTGGATTATTGGTTGGTTTTTAGTGACTGCTCAGTTGCTTGAAGGTAAATTGCTGTTATACCTCTTTGTTGAGCTGGGGAGCAACTTCTGACAAAGTATCTATGACAATAAACAGGTTATTCTAGCCATGGAAGCTGAGTTATTCTGCTTTGAGGAAGCCCTTTGTTCTTGTTAGGATTATTGTGATCAAACTTATGCTGTCTTACCACTGTAATATTAATGTGTTGGTAATGCTTGGAATTGGCTCTTACTGCTCTTACTAATGGTATAAAACCTATAAAAAGTGGAAATATTTCTGAAAGTGAGAATATTACATACTACTTCTTGGTTAACATGAATAAATTATAAAGACTTAAAAAGTAGAAGAGCATTGATAGGATAGCATTTTTGAGTAAACATAATAAAACACTTGTTCTTTCGTGGCTATCTGGTTAAATATTGGTTGGATAGTTGAAGTATTGACTGGATGAAAGAATGTTACCTGAAACTTCTTTTAATCTTGGAATGACTAGGGATTTTAAAAGCAGTAAATAATTCCTTTACTGTTGCTGTTGGCAGAATATAGAGTTGGAGTTCTCTTCCACAACCAGGAAAAACTACGCATTTTACAGTATGTACAATTAGTTTAACGTTATTAATGGAATCAGTGATTATATGTATAAATGAATGGGAGCTCTGGAGCAGTAAATGGCATGGAATCTAGTTTGGTACAAACACTTAAATGTTCATCTAATAATCTTGGTTTTAAATAACACAATACAAACTCTAAACCTATAAGGTTAGCATGATAGCAAAATTAGCAATTTTGTGTGGATGGCATGCTAACTTGGGATAGTTTTTTATTTGTGCTATTATAATTGCATCACATACTTATTTTAAGAAGTTATGCTCTGCATGTGTTAAATAAAGAGCATGTTGGTTAAAATAAAATAGTAATCCTGGTTTCTTTAGCCCTGTGTACAAAGTGTGGTTATAAAGGAGGTTAGTGACTTACTGCAGGATGAATCATTTCTAGCAGGGAACTATGAATTCTCTGGATCCTGCTCTCATTTGACTTAATTCTTTATTTGTGTCTTTGTAAGTCAAAGGCAGATGCTCTCGTTAGATACGCTAATGCAAAGATTATGTCTTTTGAAAGGTCAGTATTTTAAATAGTTGAGGAAATCTTTTCCGTAGGATCAGTGTCTTAGAAGTAGCATGGTGTTCCCTTCTGTAACGTTCATGAACATTTGCTGATTTGAGTACTTAGCAATTACACTGGTAAGTAGTAGACGGTAAAAATGAGAGCAAGTCCTTGTAAATACACAAATGTAAATAAATAAAAATAAAATACACATCTAGAGGGGTATCTTGGAAGTTGCCTCAAGCTTTGTACATTCCTCAGAACATTGTGGTGGTTCTTATTATCCCTTCTCTATGATTAACTCTCTCTCTTTTAAAATACAAAGAAATTTTAAGGAAAGGGAATGCTGAGGGAGTTTCAGGGAGAGCAGAACCCCAAAAGATAGAGTTAATAGCATTAATTACCAAGGATATTTGAATCCCTGAAACTATGTAGTTAAGGCAGGAAGAACCCTGGAGGCCTGTCTAGGCTTGAGCAATGAAGTGGATACGTAATGGTAGTACAGTCATTTATTTAGCATAGATGTACTGGTACTCTGGGCTTGGTCTATGTTTGAAGTGCTTTTTGCAAAAGAGTTTTTAACTTCTGAAACCAATACAGTTGTTACATGGTTTCTAAGTAGAGAATGAGGCCTGAGTATAATGACATAGAGAATGGCATAGCTTGGCTTTTTCATTTTTGGTTCTAGACTAACCAGGGTGTGGTTGTTTCCTCAGTGAGCTGAGCGCAGTGCCTGGATTGGTATTGTAATTCTGAAAATGAAAACTGTTTCTAGTAGTTTGTGGACTTTATGTCATTGAGGTGTGTGCATGCTTGTGCTTTTGAGTGTGTCTCTTGAAGTAAAAGTGGTATCCAGCAGTTCTTGTGATTCTTTCCATCCCCTTTTCACCAAAGTGTTAGCCAGTTTCTTCTTTGCAGATTGTATGGGGACAGTGGGATCTAATATTTCCTCCCAGTCTTTGGGAATAGGTAGTTATTCTGCTGTTTACACATGTGATAAAAATTCAACGTTTATTTGCCAGTTATCACTATAGGATATGGCATTGCAGGGCTCTCAGAAGTGATGACTGCTCTGTATAATGGCTGATACATAATAAATACTCTTCATATATTTATAGTATTAATAAAATACGGTCTTTACCCTCTAAATTTACATTTATGAAAGGAGGGAAAGGAGTAGAAGTGGGTAAGACGAATTCTAGGTATTTATAATACAAGGTTGAATTTAGAATCAAAGTTAGAGGGTGCAGTGGTGTGGAGTAGTCACCCTTGCTTGATGAATTTCAAAAAGACCTAGTGGAGGATGGGCCCTGAAGGGTAGGTAGGATAATCAAAGATGGGACTAACTACCAGCAGAAGAAAACATCCTTACTGAGCCCTTTACAATGTGCTAACCAAAATGTGGTGGCAGACCCCTTGCCTTACTACGTTTAATCATTCTCAGTACTCTCAACTGCTGTATTCATCTGGTGATTGAATGTTTGTTTGTTTGTTTGTTTGTTTTTTAGTGAAATGATTATTTTCAGAATCTTGTTTTATTTCTTAACCTCTGAGAATAAATGTTTTTCTTCTTTTGCTAGGTCAAATTTGAACTGCATTGCTGGCTGTGGGTCCTTCTTTCTCTGTGATGGTCTCTTTCCTCAACTTTTCACTTGATTTGTCCCTAGTTTTGTAGTTATAATGTTTTTCATAGATTAACCCACATGCCTTTGTGGGCATCCTGTTGGGATGAGTTATTTTTCCTTATTGGGCTTTGTTCTCATTGTGCCATTCTATATTTAGCTTCTGGGAGGGAAGCTCATTCCTGGGGTAGGATCACTACTCACTGCTTTTTCTCTTCAGTTTTTTAGGTGGTGGTGGCACCCGGATAGACAATAGCACATCAACACATTTTGCAGAGGTAGGTTTTCCTTTGGCTATAGGGATTCTTTAGGTAGTGGGTGGGTGTTAAAACCATGACAGGTTTTCACTTCCCAGTGCAGCAAAACATCAGAACGTATAAGAAAAATATGGGCAAAGTAGCCCTAGAAAGATTCGTTTTCAGTAGTGGGGCTTTGGTGTGGTGCTTTCAGTAAACCCTTGATTAGGAAACAGCTGAGCTGTTTTAAACCTAGTGGTGTTTTCAATTCTGTTTTCTGCTTCTTTATTGTGTGTATAGTGTGAGAATAAAAATCTCGTGTTTTTGAAATAACAGTGTTACAGACTCTTAGTGGTGGGGCAGCCAAGTAAAGAGCAGGCCAGGATGAGTTGTAGTTGAAGTCACAGTGAGGCTCAGCCTTCAACTGTACGCAGAGGTACTGGTTTCTAGAGATTATCTCTAATGAATATGGTAATTTGGTATATGTAATTGAAATTAGGGGGCCAGATAGAGGATAAGATATTTACTTGCCTTCCACATCTCAGGGTGGTACCTACAGTTAATTCCTAGCTCTTTATATAATGCAGTGTCCATATTTTTGGAGGAAAAAAGATCTTAACTAGGATTTGAGAATAAGGCATTAATTTGCATCCTTGAATACCATTTTATATTAAACTCAGAGTAATTTTCTTTTTTCATTTTATCCATTAACTTAAAATCTCCTTTTGGGGGGACCATTTTAACCATTTTTAAGTGTACAATTTAAGTCTACGCTTTTAAGTGGCATTAGCACTTTTTGTTTATAATCATTTAGAGACTATAGCCCACAAGGGACAGACCAGCTCAGCTGACCAAAAACGCTGGTTTGCTTTTTGTTCCTATTGCCACACAACTTGGTTGGATCTGGAAAGCTAACAGATGCTAAAATAAAAAAAAAAGTTTAATCCCCTAATCAGAATTTCTTTATGTTTCAGGATCACATTAGCCTTTTTCAGAGATAGTTCAAGTGCCTAGAGAGCTAGCAAAACTTTTTGGTATTTATTTATGTGTAAATTAAAACTATGTGCAGTGTATTTGAAAACTGGTATTCAATAAGAAGCCCATAAAACCCTAAGCTTTTCTCCTTTATCCTCTGAAAATTATTTTAAGACCTGTAGCTCTCAAGATTTTTATGTTGTTAGAGTTATAGTCAAAAAACTTAAAGAAGTGTTTGGGTAACAGTTCTGTTTTATCAAAGGAAATTTTCTTTTACTTCTGGTCTGTGGTACTTACTAATATCCAGTATTAAGCTTTTTGCTTAACTCTGAATTGCCTTGTTACATGGGTTGATTAGTGTGTTTCAAGACAGATCATGTCTTTGAACTTCAATTTTTATTTTCTTATTTTGGTGGATGGAAAAACATTACTTAAGATTTATTCCCCTTGCCAGGCTGGAAGCCTTTCTGATTTTAGTGTGTTTTTTTCCCTGTGTGCGCTATTCCTGATAACACAGATTGTCCCTTGCTGGTTGTGCATATGCAGAAGAAACTTCCTCTGATTTTCCTTAAGTGTTAGTTCTCTTTTAGGAAATGGAAACACATTGGTCTGTCAGTTTTATGATATGACTCACCAGAAGGAGATGCATTAAGAAGAAAAATAAATAAATGTAGTCAGTTTTCTAACTTTAGTGACGCTAAATCTGACACTGACTGCATGAGTTACCCTTCAGGTGTTAAAGTAGTTTTGCTGAGTCACAGCCTGTGTCTGTGTTCTTTAGGCTTTGTAGCAAGGGCACGATTATGCCCAGTTTTTCCTTGTCATGTTGCCTGAATATTTCAGTTTTCGCCTTTCTAAACAATATTTTTCACTTAAAAAATAGAAGAAGAAAAAAAAAACCCTGTCTTTATAGTGTTCTAGAAGTTGCCAGGGATTTAAAAAAAGCAGCTGAAAGTAGGTACTGAGTGCACTTCCAGGACTCTGCTAGAAGTAGGGGCAAGAAGCAAATCTCCTGGTTGCCTTGTCTGCAAGGAACTTACAATTTAGTTGGAGAGCAGGTGCAAACATGAAACAAATAAAAAAACAAAGAGTGTACAGTGAGTATGATAAACTTACTGTGAGGGTATGTAACAAATACAGTAGAAGAGAGATGTTAAGTGGGTTGCAGTTTTGGGGAAGACTAAAGTCTTTAGGAAAAGAGGTCAGATGACATGGTGATAGGCCTGGTACCAGATTGCCTGAGTTTAAATCCTGGGTGTACTACTTACTGGCTATGTAACCTGGGCAAAATGACTTAGAATTTCTATGTGCCTCTGTTTCCTCCTTGGTAATTGGGGAAAGTACAATACCTACCTCACAGGATTGTTGTGAGGATTAAGTGAGTTGATAAATACCAGGTATGTAGGCTGGTGTGCCTGCATATAGTTAGTGCTTAATAAATTTTAGCAATTATTAATTGACTTCATGGAGAAGGTGAAACTCCTTCATTGGAGAGGTAAAACAAGGCTTCAAGTACCGGAGCCTTAAAGAGTAGGCAGAATTTAGATAAGCAAAGAGGTGAAAAAAAGTATATCAAGATAGTATTCATAGACTCTAAGGTTTTATACCTGTTTCCTGGAGGAAAAACTTAGGAAGAAAATTATATATGAAAACAATTTTCCTTTTTTATTTTTCAATTGATAATTTCAATTGAAAATTATATATGAAAACAGTTTTCCTTTTTTATTTTTCAATTGATAATTTCATCAAAGGCTTATGCTCAGTTTTGCTCTATTTTTCTTCAGCCAGAGTTGCTTGTACAATGAAGAGGTTATTTTCTATAATTAGCATTTACTAATAGCTGAATTTCTTAAAAGCTAGATATATTAGAAGAGGCTTAGTCCAAGCCAAATTTCTAACAAAATCAGGATTTTTTTTCCCAAGTAGGTCTAGGGTGGGGAGATAGGGAGAGTGGATGTGGATGGAGGAGGGTTGTCAGTTAAATGCGAACTATGAGTAATGAGTGAGGGTCAGTGGAGAGTGAATCTAAAATGTTGCTAGCAGTTTGCAGAGAGAGGACATTCCCCTGTTGATAACCTGGGGAATGGAGCCCATGGCTACCTGAGGGTTTCACTGATTACTTGAAAGCTTCTGACCGTGACCTGGTGCCAGTGAGACATCTGATCTGAAAGTCTCAGCTTACCTGAATAGTTCACTTCAGTGCAGAAGTGACTGTGGCTGCTGCCTCACATTAGCAGAAAATAAGACAGATGGTTTCCTGGAAAAAGAACTCCCAAGTATGCAAGAGGGTGGTGTGCTCTGAGCAGTCTGAGTCATATTTATTTAAATAAAATCAGTTTTGGTACATATGCAGCATAATAATGGCAATAAAAAAGGTATTAAGAATTACCTGGAGTCCCACTATTCTAAGAGTTCCCTTTCTTCATACATTTCCTTTCAGATTTTGTCCTGAGGCATAGATACTGAAAGATATTATAACAGCATTAAGAAGATTTTTTAAAAGTGAAAAATCTTCCATATTCCCATTACCTTATTTTCACTTTTTATTTTTGCATAACACTTTCCATTTCTCACATGCATGCTTCGTAACTGTTTTCAGATACAATCATAAAATATACTATATTGTGCATACTACTGTATATAAAATAGATTAACAATAAGGACCTACTGTATAGCACAGGGAACTGTGTTCAGTATCTTGTAATAACCGATAATGGGAAAGAATCTGAAAAACAAATATGTACAACCAAATCACTTTTCTGTACACCTGAAACATTGTAAATCAGCTATACTTAATTAAAAAAAAATTAAACCCAAGAAGACTGCTCAATGAAACCAGTGTTTAAAATGCCAAAAACTGTTGTCTTACTGGCAGTTAATCTGCTTATCCTTAATACATTAATTTAGTTTATATTCACCTTATTTGCTCAAAGATATTTTTTAGGCAAAAGCAAGGCTTATTTTCTCTAAAAATACCTGACAGCTTACTCTGAAGAAGGTGAAATAAATAAGTTACATATGACAAAAGTTACATAAAAAACTAGTAATAGAGCTATTATTCCATACAAAGGAGTTTTATCATAAAAAGGGCACTCACTGAAAACATATGTCTGTAATTCACAGGAGGTCATTTTCACACACCAACTAGCTGTGTGACCTTGAGCAGATTACTTAACCCTTCCATGCCCAGTTTCCTTTTGTATAAAATGGGAGGGTTGGACTAGATGTTTTTAATAAAATGTTGCAACTCTTTAAAAAAATACCATATTATATTTCTGATTTTTAAAATTTACTTAGGATTATAACATAAATCTTTTATGACTTCGTATTTTTTCATACCTGTATATTTATTAAACTGTTCTCCTTTGTTAAACATGTCTGGTTATATGTGATGGTTGATCATTGGTCAATACCTCTTCCTTCCATCTCAGAGTCTAGAACATATTGAGAAATAAAACATAGATACCAAATAGATGAAAATAAAAATTTAGTTTTTATTTAGCTGAATTAGGGAGCACAATTGATCTGTGGCCACATGGACATCGTATGTCTACACGGGATGATCCGGCTGAGAGAGACTGCTGAGCAGGCACACATACACAGAATCAGCTCTTTTGCATTTGTGCAGCCTTCTCATACATGAACTCCATCTATTGGAGAAATGTGAATCAGCATATGTTAGGCTCTTGCCATTCACCAATCAGATACTTTAGTCCTTTGGTAGGGAAGAGTGGTGAGGAATGAATGAAGAGGTCAGAGGTGGACATAAAAGCTCTGATTCTTCCCTCTTCACTTGTGGGTTTAGTAATTTAAGCCTGTAGTTAGCAGGAGTCTGGGGCTAGGTCCTGTGGATTTGCTTCTACCTTCATTAAGACTCTGCAGTATCCAAAAAAAAAAAAAAAAAAAGACTGCAGTACCAACTCATGCCCTTTTGTATATGCTCCTGGGACCTGTGGAGGAGGCTCTGAAATAATCAAGAACAATATAAATTTAAGTTAAATTGAATGAAATAAAATTATTGATATTCTAGTGTTTTTGATCTACAAAAATGGTAATTTTAAATGATT